GCCACCTTTCTGAGTTATTTCTGTCATTCCAATTTACGTCATAGCTAAGGCATTGTTATAGTTGCGGGAGTTCTGAATAAAGGACCGGTTAAGAAATAACTCTTGGATCGATTGGGGTGGCTGAGGAGGGATGGTACCTAGTTTGGGATCTGCAGCGTTGTATTGAAGTGCTACACGACCACTGCTACAACAGAAACCTTTGCGTTCCTCTGTCCAGGTGTAGGCATTGCAGTAAGTACACATGGGACAGTCGAATATGCTTGTCTTACTGAGGTAGTGTCGAATATCGGTGTAGAGATCTTCATCAAAAGAATCAATACCGCCGCAGCAAGCAATGCCTTTGTTAGTAGTCCTTGCCTCCTCAACGCGTATTCGGTGAAGGTCCTGGTCATGCTGTTGGCGATCTCTTCTCTCCTGATCAGTCTCTGCAGCACGCGATTGCTGCATGGATTGCCGGTTTGTGGAACGGCGTTGCTCTGAATGGAACCATAATTAAGAAATATAATATTACGCAATGCTTAGGTGTCGACATAAACAAAGTATGGTGTAAATAATTAATCGATACATGTGTATAATTGAATACATGCCACCCCACACCAAATCGCATACAGCTCACACATCTGGAAAATACAACCCTGTTGTGTTACAGTTTGCCAGTTTATGTCAACATTACTTCAGAGGCGGATTCAGACCGTATTTGCCGTATTGGGAAATACGGTCTAGATTTCAAAGTGCCTTTCGAAATTTACAAAAAATACAGAAAACAATTTGATGGAATTTGGCTATATTCTTTATTTGTTTTCTTTTTCTACTGATTCATTGACAGGACTTGAAGGAAATCAAAATTTTACATGGTAACAAAACTAGCTTTGATATCTGAAAAAGAAGGGAAGTGCTTGAATCACATTCTGCATTAATTGCTGGTATGCAAAGCGCAGGCAAAATAAAGCAGAAACAAAATTCCATATGGTTTTTAGCTATTGTTTCTTGACTAAATGTGTGCTCAAATGGTGCTGATTTTTGTGCCCAGGGGCCACTTATTATACGACACCAATAAGAATGCATGGCACTATAGCTATTTTTGTTATTATATTTGTATTAGCATATAGGGCATGATGGAATACAGTCACTGAAACGCATCTTAAATTACATGGAAGAATATACTGGATTGGCAATTTTTCAATACATATTTATTATTATTTAGTATTAAATTATACAGCTGAGTTGAATATTGTACCTCATGCAGTGCGTAGATTAAACTGTAAATGAAAATCATTATAGATTGGAACAGGTCAGTTCCTTCTATAATCGCCGGGACTGGACTGGCGGCGTGGAGCATGGACGACGGTACAACATGGTCACCGGTTTAAGAATGCACTTTCCATAGGTCTTTTGAACTCTGTTTATTTCATGTTGGGATAGAGTATCGAGTGGCAAACCGGTGATTGTTGCAGTCGCACAATGTGTTGGGCCACCTGGCCGGATGGACACGTGTAAGCGACGGGAGGGACAGGTTAATCCGGTGATAGCATACGTCAGCAGCCGGTTATTTTAGAAGCGGCACATTCGGCGGTGGTGGATAGACCATATCATTCATGTATACTGGCTGAATGTGTAAGCAGGTTCTAACTTTGCCACGTTAGATATAAACGAAATAAATAACGCGAACTGACTAGCACTCGCAGACACTTCCCAACAACACACACACACAACAGAGCCACACAGCACACGCACGGCAATCACACACAGATGCGCGCGGCGCGCGCGAGCGCTCGCGCCACACAGGGCAAGGCCACAGTCATGGTGTTTAGGTGTCACTCACACCGCAAGCACAAGTCGACACATTCACAGCCACGGATTGGTGCTGGTTACTAGGTGGTTGTGATGGATTGGTCGCCGTGTGTGTCTCACACTAATGTCTCGAACCCACTATCGCACGCATAGCACGCGACCGTATCGTTTGGCACGCACGCACGCAGCGCACCAACAGCAACACAGGACACAGACTCTCATTTTTGCAATGTGGACACACATTATCTGCACTCGCAAATACACATGCTCACACTTGAGCAATATCAGGGAGCGTGATAGATGACAATACTATCGTTTGTCATTTATTCACGCTTCCTGACAATATGTATATACGAATATGCAAGGAGCTTATGAATAGACACTCATAACAGATTCTCTATTATTGAGCGTGCTTGACAATATCTGGGTAACTCATTAGCAACATTATAGAATTAGTTCACATGGTTGGTGAGGGAAATATGGTAGAGGTACGCATATCTAGTATATGCCTAATACGTATTTATGTATCGAGATATTGAAATCGAAGTTTTTTTAGATATTTGCGATAGGCATAATTCATTATTTCTCATATCTGTGTTTAGCAGGAATAGAAATGGCGTAGCCTGATGTACGGCTGATGTTACTTGCGAGAGTGCTTATAATTATATTTTATACCATCATTTCGCCAGGACATTCACACTACCAGAGACACACAGCGACCAGGATGGCCACCGATACAATCGTGCTACACACAACCAGCATGGCACACACAGGCACAGCGAGCAGGCAGCATCGGCGTAGTGAGTTTGGCACGGACGATGTAAGGGACACACATTGGCACACAACAACACATCACACACACAGCCAGCAACACACACACACGNCATTGGCATCAACCGAGTAATAAGAAGGAAACAATAACGCAGCACTGTGGTAAAAATATTTTGGTGGACTATAGAAATTTTGACTCAGGGCGACTTTCCGGGAGCCGAATGGCCGTAATAGCAGAGGTCTGGGTGTGGTCCTCGGAATTAAAAATCTAACTGCAGAATATTTAATTTTTAAGATGCGGAAATAATTTGAAAAGTTATTACGCATCATAATTTCTAACGGGAGCTATTGATTTCTCATAAAAACAAGCAAATAATAAATTTTACACAGAATCTTAAGATACCCAATCTGTACGATGTCTTGCCTATTATTCAATGAGGAGCGGAGCCTCCATTCCACTCCGCTTCCTGGTCCGCACGCCTATTCGGAAGAATAATATTATTAAACGTCTCAAGCATTAAAGAATAACCGCATGTAGCATATGATATTAGTTGTAAGGGATAACTTTGTATCACCACGTATTATATTATTTTCTTTATTTAGGGTAGTTAACTTTTATGCTTGTTTTTTTTTATTTTGCTCCGAAATCTAAGAGTGCAGCCACCACCTACCCCCCACTAGCTACGACTCTTGTCGTGGTGTTTTACTCTTACGCCCGGTATTAAACAGCGCAGCTGGCAGCGGCTCATAGCAATAAAATCCTGACGAACCATTGTTTTGCTTCCCGCCAGCTGGGATGTTCAGTAACAACAACATGTACGCCGACGACATGAACAGTGTCGATTCGTCAATGGCTATGGACAACAGTCTCGACGGATTAGAAGACGTATTCCTCGGAGAATCCAGCAGCACNGTTTCGTGCGAGAAACCGTGGTTTCTCGAATTATGATACAAATGGCGCGGTTGAAAGTGGGTTTCTTGCTGAAACCTAGGTTCTTGCTTCCACAACCTAGTTTCTTGTTCAAGAAACTAAGATTCCAGCTATAACTGCGGGTACGTTATAGGGCTAGAAACCAGGTTTCGTGACACGAAACGTAGTTTCATGGCAAGAACCCTGGTTTCTTGAGCAAGAAACTAGGTTTTGTGAGCACGAAACCTGGTTTCGTGCGAGGAACCGTGGTTTCTCGAATTATGATACAAATGGCTTCCCATAAACGCGCACGTGCGATGAGAAGGGGCGGGGCGGCATGTAGGTCAGAGCACCGCGCTAAACATAACTGGCTGGCGTGAAAAACTGAAAGCATAAATTCACATAAATGAATAAGTTGTCTAGCTTCGTTACTCTGATTCCCGCACACGCTCACCCGTTCCTATATCATCTAGTGCAATTTTTGACGTATCATTCCTAGTGCAATGTGTACATAGCGATATTGTGTATTGTAGACACGAGGTTTGCATTAATTAAATCAGTTAATAATTTTATAACTCCGTTAAGATTATCGGCCAGCAGATTGATTCTTGTAATAACTAACTAGGCACGAGCGATGAGGTTGAGGGAATGTGTGAAACACAGTCTGCGAGGGCAGGCGGGAGTGTTTATGCACGAGCGGCGGTTGTTTGTGTACGCATTTGGCACACGACCGAGAAGCAACTCGGCTCTCCCCGGAGGAGGGGTTCGACACAATAGAGAGATACTCCTGTCTTGTGAAATAGAGAGCGATCGTGGGTGTTGGATCCTTGTAAGGATGGCCCGATCAATTACCCACATAACCGACGGTGTACATAGGGATGTACATGGGGATATTCTAAATCGGGGCATCTGCTGGACAGTTTCGGACGTGCACGAGGGGCTGCAGGGATGGTTCCTTGTTTGGACAGGGGTTTGTGGACGCTAAATTTAAGCGTGTATATATATAAGACAGTTCGAGCGAGCACAGTCAGTGTGCCTAACATTGTCTGTGTTGCAACGTGCATCGATTATCAGTCTGTGAGTATGTGAGTTCTTNCCCGCACACGCTCACCCGTTCCTATATCATCTAGTGCAATTTTTGACGTATCATTCCTAGTGCAATGTGTACATAGCGATATTGTGTATATTTTGAATATTTTATCAACCGTGAGTTTAAGACTACGCGTAAATATTTATGCTAATATATATATAGTAAGCACATGAGTGTAAAATTATTAATTATATTGCGATGGACAAAACAAAGGCACAGCTGTCATGTAAGATGGGAAAAGGCATGTATTTTACTACAATAGCCACACTTCCAGGCGCACTGAATCTAGAATTGCATGCGTATTCATTTCAACTGTCTGTATTACCATGTTCACAATGTCATGTTGCTGTTATTTATATAGCATGTTGTTAACGCAGAGAACACTTTGATACAAAAAACAAGGATTGAAATTCAGTTATTCAGACATTGATAAGAAACTGTGAATAATTGCTAAAGCGTATCTCTACGGGGTTACAAACAACATAACAAAACAACGTGCATTAATTGTTGGTTTCAAGAGCCTATCAATTGTTGATATATATATATATAAATGATGTCATTTCGTTGTATATAGACGTAATTCAAAATTTAAAATATAAAAATGATCTGAATAATTATTATAACTTACAGACGTGTACGTGCCTATATTGTGTATTATTTAATGATGTGCGCCATTTGATTCAAGTAACCTACTTCTTTTCACAAGTGTCATTAATTATTTAGGTAATCTATGCAATTAATCATAGAAATATATAAATATGCTATTATATATATATACGTATATGTATATACGTATAATATTATGTATGTGTATATCTATGATCTCTGGTTTCTCTCCGAATGATGAGCTGTTTTACACGGCGAGGCCTCTGATATTGGATGAGAACGGTATAGATTCGTGTTCGTAATAATCTATAGAAGTCTCTAAGTTACCGAATCTTAAGTATTTAAGTACATCAAATATAACTGTCTTGGTCGTTCTAGATATATAATATATATATATATATATATATATATATATATATATATGCAAGTAAATGCACAAGTCTTGGAAGTTAAATATAATATCCGTACAGCATACTGACACATACAAACTTACCCACCTTCGCCTACTTGAACAGCTACTAACCTAGCGTATATCAATTTGAATATATAGCAAACGATTGCTATATAATCCCATTTTATCAAATCAAATAACTGTATAGGTTTTGTCATTGGATATTTTTCTGTTTTTAACGTGAAAAAAAAAATGCTATAGTTATAAGACGAACCAACAATAGAAAATAATGAAACAATCATTGCCTTAAATAATTTATTGACCAAATAATATGGATAATCACACGGAGGAAAGACGATTTTCACGAAGTCAAATATTTAAATACTGCTCATGCCATGCATGAACTATTGGATATGCTTACGGTATCACTATCATGACTAGCCAAATTTCATACCTGCTCTTATTTTTTCCCATAATTTTATGTTTAAAAACGTCCCGCAAACCTCAATAGATATATAGCTGTGACGCATACTTTTAACACAGCCAACGATAACGTCTCTGTCATCGATGGTAATTAATAATGTGACAGTGATGCTTTCGATTGTTGATATAATGATATCGATTTCCGTATCCCTCTGGTCGCTGCATTAGCTGCTTACTTGCATTCATCTATGCTGTACAGAGTCGAAGCTGCCTGTTCTGTAGAGATAAATGAATACAATGAGCTTACGTGGTGGATTTTATATGCGGTAAATAACATGGGACACGATGAGCTCAATACATAAACGAGACAAAAACCGAACGCAAATGTTTTCTTTGGATGCTTGCGAATGCGCCCAAACAACGGGAAGTGCGTGTTCACTGCACTGGCGCCACCTAGTGTACGTACCTGTCTCGTAGTAGTCGTACACCTTCACAGCGGCAGGCTTCACGTTTTCCACGTCCAGATATTTCTCCAGTTGAAAGGTCACACACACCTGCTGGCCTGGTTCGAACTATTTAAATAAAAATAAATTCATATTCGTAGCTATTCAATGCATATTTATTCCTATATTCATGCAAGCTATCATAGCCTGACCACTACTATTTTCAACAATTCTAACTTATCTAGGAATTTATTTGAGCTAAAATGGTTTGCAGTTAATTCTGGTAAGGGTGTGTTGGAAGTTAATTATAAGTATGTGCTCACTCACCTTATTCACGTAGATATCAACAGTCTTGCCTTCAATATCGAACCGCTTCAATTGGGAACCTTTACTTGGCTTGCCAATAAGCTGCAGGAAAACCCCAAAGTAAACTCATCTAATGCTTATAAACGCAAACGTATTCCTTAAAACCGCGAGGAAAACCTCAACTCGTTTGACACGCTGTGAGAATTAGCTACCATCTACTTCCATCACACCGAAGCTTGTTAAAGCACTCAAAGTAGCGTGTGTGTGGAAAAGCCACGCGCTACAACTTATAACTTCCTCGTCCTAGATGTTTATCACGAGCCCGATGCAGATATGAATATAGCATTCCGTAAACGTCCTCTGTAACTGTTTAATCACTATAGCATGGCGCATTGAAGAAAATTGAAGAACCAAGTCAGGCGACAACTGCGGGACGAGCTAGATTGCCACAATAAATACGCGTGCTGGTTGCAATATTTGACTGCCGAGTGATTTAAAAGATAATAATACATATAGATAGGTAGAGAATTACATTACCTCCCGCAATGACGCCTTCACTGGTGAATATCCGGTGACCATATTTACACTGATTATAGCCATATTTGATGGTTCCTCACCAGTAAACCTACAAGACCAGATATATAAATGAAAAGCTTCGAATACACATGTTATCAAAAGCCTCTTTATTATTAACTCTTGATGATATTAATATCACACGAGGTCTTAACAGTGGCGTAGTTACGGGGGGGCCAAAGGGGGCCATGGCCCCCCCTGTTGAGCCGAAAGTAAAAAAGAAAAAAAAGAAAGAATTGTTCTACTAAAAAGAGAATTGTCGTAGTCAGAATGAAGGCTGTACATGTACTCAAAAGTGCCTCAAATACCATCTCCTGCGATCTACATTTTCAAAAATTTCTGGGGGAGGACCCCAGTGCCCCCCGCCTGTGTTTTCCCCCTCCACTTGTAATCCTGGATCTGCCATTGAACAGCTACATATCTAGGGAGCAGAGAACAACGAACACAAATGTCCCCTGTTAACATGGCGCCCAAAACAAAGATTGCAGAGCTGAGAGGTGGGGGAGCATAGGGTGTGGAGAGGGAAGCGGAGAAACCATTAAAATATTAAGTCATCAACTATTTTGCGCAGTTCGCTGTTTTTGCCCCCCCCCTGTTAAAAAATCCTGGTTACGCCACTGGATCTTAATAAGCACAATACACAGCAGGAGCACGTTTGGGTAAATTACGTAAATACTTACGTGCCACAGGCTGTTATCTCCCACGTCTTACAGTTAGTCGTCGTGACATCAGCACTGGCTGAAAATACAGGAAGCCTTCTCTTCTCTTCGAACAGGTTGTAGAACACGTTGCCCTAAATCAAGAAACTATAGTAAGACATGATATCTGCATATGCTGGGATTCCGAGTCAGTATAGAATGCTTGCTATAAGGTCATAACTTGTAGCTCTCGTTGGTTCACAGCACTCATTGCGATCGGGCTTCAGAACGAAATAAACTGTAATTCTCAATAATTCTGGAAAGTTCTTCGCGTTATCTGGAGGGTTCTATATGCGTTATCTTTTCATTCATTAACGCGACCCAACGCATTCACTAAGCTGCATACCGTGCTGCCACCTGTGAGCGGATGGTGCGGCCCAACGCTTACCTGAATGATGACGCATCGTGACCCCGTCACCGTGACCTCGAGCTTGCTGGGTACCGAGGGCACGTCGACCAGCTGCTGGACTAGGCTGTTGATGCTAGACACGCTCACGGCAGCGTTAACGTCGTCACCGCTGATCGCGATGTCGCTGCTGGTTTGAGAACCGAAGAACACCATGGCAAACTTGGAGAGAGCCTGCAGTGCGACGACAGTCTCCTGCATAGAAATATGTGAAACCTGATTGAGCTAAGGTACTTTTCATCACACACAAGGCTTACTTCACACACAGAAGTACGTTCTCTGCATTTTCGGCAAGAGTCAAGGGGAGGAAGATTCCGTAGGGGTAAACATTGTTGGGTTGCATAACATAGAAAGCTTTATATTATGCTCTCCCGATTCAGGCATGTTCTTACGAGTTCTTTGACGATTCCAGCCTCAGAGATAATTTCTAAACTTGGCTGCAAAAGGACACTCATCAGAATTATATAAGTTGAGCACCTGTGTTGACGAGAAGCCACCCCGAGAGTTTTGCTGCTGCGTTATCCACCTGACGATGGTGAGAGGCAGCGCTGTGTCATCATTTTCCATCTGCATCAGCGTCAGCAGAGCGTATGCTGTCATCTCAGTGTTTATCGCCTTCTTCTCGGCTTGCCGGTTCCATGGCAACCTACACACGCGGAAGGGAGAACAATTTCAAATGTGATTTCTGAGGGTGATTCCGAATTTGTGAACTGTGATTGTGATTTTCTGAATTGTGGTGGTTGCGGCGGTGGTAGTAGTAGTAGTAGTAGTAGTAGTAGTAGTAGTAGAAGTAGTAGTGGTAGTAGTAGTGGTAATGGTAGTAGTAGTAGTAGTAGTAGTAGTAGTAGTAGTAGTAGTAGTAGTGGTAATGGTAGTATAGTGGTAGTAGTAGTAGTAGAAGTAGTAGTAGTAGTAGTAGTAGTAGTAGTAGTAGTAGTAGTTGTAGTGGTGGTAATGGTAGTAGCTGCTAGCTTTATTAAACCAATATCTTCATATATATCGGACACAAGCTGCGATCAGGCGGTCACGCACTTGTGCGGTATGCATTCTTTTGACATAATACAAAACTTCGAGGCCGACGGTGCATCACACGGCGTGACCTTGCAAATTCCATCCGACCGCTTATTAAATACGCTGCGCAGATTAAGGGATCTTCGCGTGACAGTTATTATACGAGCACGACAAATTACCGGACAGCGAGCAGACTAGCTAACACTGGACTCCCGCGCGTGTCGATCGGATCGACAGATCGGCGGACGGACAGATCACGCGCAGAGCGATTTAGTATGTAGATCACGTGAGTACGAACATAAGCACTACGACCGTGATTGTCAAACTGTCGCGACCGTGATTGTGAATGATTATAACTTGCGACGATACTTACGTCACGTCCACTGTCTCTGGTACAGCCTTCTCCCAGTGCGTCGTTTGTGCGGTCTCGTTTCGTACAGCCATCTTAAGCAACCTATTGAAATATGGCTGGCGTTACTGCATCGTCGCAAAATCAGCAAATTCGACTATGGCACTGTAAAGTATTGCGCCATGAGTCACGCCTTACACGACATAAGGGTTTTCAAACATTTTCCGTATGGCCTAATGTGTCTTTAGAGGCCTCGTCGTAGCAAGTTGGTAACGCAACATGCTTACCTACTTTATTTGCTTTTCTCGTTTGGCTCGCGGCTAATAAAACTCAAACCGGTTGAAACGAACATGTTGGATCGAATAGGTAAGCACGCAACTACCATGTTTATTTAGAGGGGCGGTTTTTTAGGGACGCGGAATTGGACCATTTTAATTATCTGGGAACTAGAAAATACCAGATAATTATTTTCGTGAATAGGGAATCAAAGTAAACCGGGCCGCGGGGAACAGGGAAAGGGCACATATTAATACATGGGAAACTGAGAATGGATCCATGGACGAGTGCTGATCAGGTGCGGCTGTAATAGTTGCATTAGCGATTACCTATCAAAGTATTCCTGAGTTTTGGGCATGTCGCCGTGTCGGGCGTACGCATAAGCCACCAGCGCCGTGGTGTAGGCGTCCTCGAAGGTTTCACTCTCGATGCAGGAGAAGGCAGCCGAGATGGCGCGCCCTGCGTCGGCCACGTTGGACTCAATCAACGACGTCACGACATAGGCTGTTAGCGTCGCCTTTGTTTTCGCGTTGCCAACGCCTCCCTGTGAACACACGACCCATACATGTAGTACGATACACGCAAGAGCATAGGTATAACGTTANGTAGTAGTAGTAGTAGTAGTAGTTGTAGTGGTGGTAATGGTAGTAGCTGCTAGCTTTATTAAAGCAATATCTTCATATATATCGGACACAAGCTGCGATCAGGCGGTCACGCACTTGTGCGGGATGCATTCTTTCGACATATTACAAAACTTCGAGGCCGACGATGCATCACACGGCGTGACCTTGCAAATTCCATCCGACCGCTTATTAAATACGCTGCACAGATTAAGGGATCTTCGCGTGACAGTTATTATACGAGCACGACATATTACCGGACAGCGAGCAGACTAGCTAACACTGGACTCCCGCGCGTGTCGATCGGATCGACAGATCGGCTGACGGACAGATCACGCGCAGAGCGATTTAGTATGTAGATCACGTGAGTACGAACATAGGCACTACGACCGTGATTGTCGAACTGTCGCGACCGTGATTGTGAATGATTATAACTTGCGACGATACTTACGTCACGTCCACTGTCTCTGGTACAGCCTTCTCCCAGTGCGTCGTTTGTGCGGTCTCGTTTCGTACAGCCATCTTCAGCAACCTATTGAAATATGGCTGGCGTTACTTCATCGTCGCAAAATCAGCAAATTCGACTATGGCATTGTAAAGTATTGCGCCATGAGTCACGCCTTACACGACATAAGAGTTTTCAAACATTTTCCGTATGGCCTAATGTGTCTTTAGAGGCCTCGTCGTAGCAAGTTGGTAACGCAACATGCTTACCTACTTTATTTGCATTTCTCGTTTGGCTCGCGGCTAATAAAACTCAAACCGGTTGAAACGAACATGTTGGATCCAATAGGTAAGCACGCAACTACCATGTTTATTTAGAGGGGCGGTTTTTTAGGGACGCGGAATTGGACCATTTTAATTATTTGGGAACTAGAAAATACCAGATAATTATTTTCGTGAATAGGGAATCAAAGTAAACCGGGCCGTGGGGAACAGGGAAAAGGCACATATTAATACTTGGGAAACTGAGAATGGATCCATGGACGAATGCTGACCAGGTG